CTCAAGTTTTCTTGTTTTGATATTGTTTTTTAGCTTAATTTTTAGACTTTCAGGCTTTCTCAGTGACATTGTATTTCTTCTTGGACTAAGCTAACAAGTCACAGTTTCTTGGAAATCAGTCTCCTTGATTCAGCTTCTGTTTCCTATTATAAAATGTTCATTCTCTCTGCAGTGTTATGAATGAAGAATCCTGATGTTGCTGCAGTTACGGTGCACACACCTGTAAGAGAAGGTGTGTAAGTCACCATTATAGTTCTTGGGTGATAGAGCTGAGAAAGCTTGGCAGCAGGTGCCCTTTGGGAGCCTGGCATGTAAGTACAGTGCCCCCAGGTCTGAACGCTTCCCTGCCTTGTAGTTTTGGCAGAGTTTGTGCCAGTCCCGTTTTTGTTGCATTCTGACTTCTGCTTTCTGATTTCTGACTGTTGGAAAATACTTTTGTTGAAGTGGAAATGCAGATGTTGATCAGTATTAGTAATCCTTTAGCTGAGAACTGAGAGTCTGTTGTTTGTCCCACAGTTAGAGGAAATCATTGAACAAAATCAGATACACAGACACAGCCGAAAAGCCTAGTCCTGGAGGCAAAAGGAGTTACCAGAAGTTAGAAGAAGGAAAAGCTGAGTCTCAGAGAGGAATGCTGACATTCTTCTATAGTCTTTGAACAAGTATAAAGGTTTCTTTGCCTATGTTTCATTTGCTGAAACTGCCCTTTGCTGTGGAATCCGAATTTCAGTCTCACAGATTTTGCAAACTCTTCGAGTTTGTGAGGTCTGCTGTGGAAAATCACAGGCTCACTACCTTCGGTACCAGCTTCCATGACAAAAGGTGAGTGTAGCTGGTGGAAAATTTGAAGTGTTGGGAGCTGTCCTTAGGGACCATTTCACACTTCAAAGATTTTAGTTTCTGCTGTGAGTGCCATTGGAGCTCTGACTGATTTAAGTGTGGGGGACTTCTCTGCATTAGAAACATTACCCGTGAACATCTGATTTTAATGTGGTATTTTAATTTGCTTTCTTTTCTCCTTGCATATCAACTTAAAATTTAGAAAACATTGTAAACTTGGTCAGGAACTGAACATATTGCAGTATAATAAAGGACTATTTTGGTTTTTTTCTTTCAAAGTGCATGCACTTAATATGATGATTCCTGATTTTTAGTGCCAAACGTAGGAAGTCACTAGCTAAACACCTGTAGTAAAAGCATGCTATTGTGTTACAGGGTTTTTTTAGCAGTAGTCTTGTAGGCTTGGAATAGTTGGAGTTTGCCTAGATAGATAGGTTCAGCTATAAGTGGGCAGGTAATGTGGGAACTTAAAAAATTGGAAAGCTACCTTTAAATATGAGTAAGAATTAACTGTTCCTCCGCACAGTTTGGCAGGAAAGGGCTGGATGACGACATCAGGAAATAGACACTGGAAGTGAAGGCCAATGTTTAGACCAGAGCAGGTCAGCTGCCTTTTCATCAAAGTGCCCAGGAGACCCTTTGCCTCTCCCCCTGTGTCTGCTGTATGTGGGGCACACAGGGGAAATATAGGGGAAGAGGGGGAAAGGAGACAATTTTGTAGACCACCTTTGGGCCCACAGCAGTCACTGCTATCTCTACCCACATCTGAAGCAAAGATGATGAGCACCAAGTCAGGTGAATTCCTTTCGCATCTGGATGCCCATGGGAATAAAGTAACTCTTGAGAGCTTCTTTCTGTCCCTTTATTCCTGTGATGATTGTGGGGTCTGGAAGGGTGAACTTCGAGTCATTAAACAGAGGTTATACTGTGTTTGAGAAAACAGTGCTACATGGGGGAAAAGAGCTCCATATTTTTATAGCCTCAATGAAATTTTGAATAAGTCAGGGCAGTTGTTCAGTCATTCATATTCATAATTTTATGATGAAATATGCATGAACATAATAGCACGTGTGTTTCATGTTTAAGAATGAGTTTTTTCTTTTTGCAGTGTTTAAAATACCTTTGGAACAAAATCTTCATAATTTGCATCTCAAAAGCTGTTAATTTTTAAAATATAATTTCATGTTGAAGTAAGTAACATCTACTCGGTGGACTCAGTGCTACATCTGGAATTCAGTGTTCATTGTGAGGCCCCAGTACAAGTGAGGGATTGGCAAGCTGGAGCAAGTCCAGTGAAGGCCACTGCTGTGGCTGGGGGTGGGAAGAGGTCAGGAGAGGCTGAGGGAACCGGGTTTGTGTCATTTTGAGATGAAAGGAATGAGGGGGATTGAATTGCAGTCTTCTACTTCCCAGGGCAGTGTTGGCAAGGTGGAGTCAGACTTTGTTCAGGGGTGTGCAGCAGAAGAATGAGAGGCAATGGCTGCAAGCTGCTGCAGGGCCAACTCCAGTTGGGCTTACAGGAAAAACTCTTCCTGGAGTTTCTGGTTAAACTCAGGATGCTCTGGGAGGTGGTGAAACCTGCACCTTCATGGGGTTTCATAACTTGGGGACCCTGAATAACCTGATTTAATTTTGAAAACGCCTGTCTTGAGTGTATAAGAGAACATTCAGAAGTCTCTTTCAGCTTAATTTGAGCTTTGATTTTCATTATTATTGTCTAAATGCACCTGTAATCTGTGCTGTGGAGCTCTGTTAGCAGGAGAATCAGTGGGAAAAGCACTTGAGCTACAAATGCAAATGTACCATATGCTGCTAGTCAAATTAAACCATCTGCCTTAATCTTGATTTAAACATCTTTGAGTTAGCTCACCTGTCTCTCAAAAGAAAAGTGAAAAACTTCTCTTTGACATATGGTACTATTAGAAATTGTTCATAAACATGCTGTCTGCTACATAATATGGCAATTCTTTTGGTTTTGGAGGGTATTAATGCAATCTGTAATACACAAGCTCTCTTTCCTGCTGCAGGGTTTGTCTCAGCAGCTAAAAAATAGTGAAAAATATGTGGAACTTCAAAATGAGCTAATGTAATGTTTAAATCAACCCCTGAAGCATTCTTAAGTGAGAAAGTGTATCTTTCTTCTTGTGAATAAGTGCACTGTTCAGATGGGAGCAAGCAGATCAGTGGGTAGGACTCTAACACTGGGTCTGTGTCCTTCTTTGACACAATTCTTGTGTAATTTGAAGCATGTCGCTGTGTGCTAGGTCAAAATGGAAATCAAGCTCCATGGCTCAGCTCTGTGTCTTGTTAATATTTGCTGGTGAGGAAGGAATTGATTTTTAAAAAATCATTGTTGGAAATTAACTTTGATAGATGTTTAAAAACTTGCATCATATATTTAAAGAAAAAAAAATCATTCTGAAAGCCTTTTAGCTTCTCTCTTATAGATGCATTTGGAAAAGGTGCTGAGACTCACTTTCAGAGGTTTGCTTGGTATTACATGTGTCTCACTTGAAAACCTATGCTCCAGTCATGAGCAGCTTTAAAAAAAATACAGGAAAATAGCCATTTATTCAAACCGTAACTATCTCTTGTTTTGGCTGACTGTTTTGGTGTGGCAGGATGCATTCCAGACATCTGTAAGCAGGAACACGCCTTGGAGCTCTGCAGATATAAACTGTAGAGAAGCTTTAGAAGGAACACTGTACAGTGAAAGCACATAATGGAATTTATTGTGTTATAGACAGATGTTGGGTGAATCCTTTCTGAGCCTTGGCTCTGAAGCGACTTGATTTTGTCTAGGACTGGATTAAGAGCTACCAAAGCTTAAGACAGTTTAAAAGGGAATTTTGTATGCTTAGTAAATGAAGTTGTTATTGTCTCATCATACTAAGATCTTGCACTACCAGAGTTGTTATCTTTCCTGGCACATCTGTCCTGATAATTCACCCTTGCAAACCTAATGTTAGGGAGGTAAATTGCCTGGTGCCTCCTAGGGTCGGATCATTTTTTGAAGCTTTTTTTTTTTTCCTATTCACTTTTTCTGTAAGTGGCAATTGATTTGACCTTTGAATCCTGATCCATTTAGTTTAATATTTTGCCACTGTACCTTGAATTTCACTCTCTCCTTCAATTTAATATTTTACTATTTGGGCTATGGAGACTTTCCAAGGGCATGAGCTGTTTTGTTGCCAGCAGAAGATAGAACTTCTTCAGATTAACATCTATGGGCCACTTAAGAGTAGGACAGAAAATTCAGCATTGGCTCTTCCACTGTCTTTTGTAGCTTTTGGAAACTGACTTTTCCTCCTCAGCCCTATTTTGAAAGCTGTCTTTTTGACATGCTGTCTTTTGAGTTAGAGTGAAAATGGACTGGGGGCAGAGTGTGTGCATTGCTTAGTACAATATGTTTTCCTTCCAGATCATTCTGGAATGTCACTAGTCTGATGGGGAAGGCAGGATGATGTCTCATGGGTTCTGGGCTTTGGTCTCTTCAGTTGTGTGTTCAGTACCAATGTAGGGGAATGCTTTATAAAGTTATTCTTTTCCTTAAATCATGAGATCAATGGCATTTGAGAAAAGAAGTTGAAAGAAAAGGTCCTCAGGAGCTCACTCTCATGTACTTCACTCTCCTTAGGAAAGGTGGAAGTAAAGGGACTTGAGCAGAATTTTTAAGATTGGCAGAAAAAAAACAATGGAAAGAAGCTGTGTACAAAGTATATGGTTAAAACTTGTTTTTTTTCTGATTGCTGAATAGAGAAAAGCATCATGAAAACTCATAAGCTTCCTAGAATTTTTATCCCTCACCTCTTCATTAATATTTTGAGATGGAATATATACTCCAAACAGACATTGAAATAACATATTTTAGTAATCTCCTTGTGATTGTCACGGTGGGAACTGCAGAGTACAAAATAGTTAAAAAACTTTTCCTTCCTTCAGCTGGCTTACTGAGATCATTAAAAGAATTGGGTCCAATACTGAGGGCTGTGTACAGAAAAAATTGGACTGTATTCATATCGAAGCAAGAAGCCAGGCAAATTTCCTCTCTTCCATAATGGTATTAGCTAATAGGTATGAGCTTGGCCAAATTGAAAAGGAGTGGCTCAATATTTGGAAATTGTGTTAATCTATAAAACATGTTCCCTTCATTTTTGCAGAGTTTTCCAGTCTGCTAAAGGTGCGGTGGATATACTAGAATGGACACAGAGGATTTCCCTCCACCACCACCAGAAGGTAATTGAAATAGTTTGGAGTTTAAAGCCAATTTTTCTGTAAGAATTTGATTATCTTTCCAGCATTGATTTTACCTCTGCAACATTCCCTTTCCCCACATCACCATAAGGCTTGGTCCCAGTGGTATTCCGTTGAAACATGAGCTCCTGTCATCTTTCCTGTCTTCTTGTTGGACTTCATTTGCTGGTGTAGTTAGAACATGATGGGAAGAAACCTTGGAACAATTGGTCCTTGCAGTATAAATCTGAAAATATGGAAAATATGTGGTTTTTTATGGCAACTCTTTGTAGTCAGAGCATAGACATCTACGGAAGAATATTACGGATGCTGGAGTAAGGGGCTCGTTGTGTGAAGTTAACACTCAGTGCCCCTTGCCTGTTGTATCCTGGTAGCTGGATGGCCTTTGGTGTAACTCAGGTTTCTGAGGGCACAAAGGTAGGATCTACAAAGACACTGTCTCGCTGCCTTTTGTGTTTATGCTCAAAGAGCATTGCATGTGGTGATTTTTTTATCCTGTTCAATCTCCTGTAAGCACATACTTGTGTAGTGCTTGCTAGTACATATTTTAATACTTAACAGGATTTGGCTTTTGGTAGCTGAATGTTGAGAGACCTCACAGAAGTATTATGTGCTTGTTCTGGTCATCCCAACACATAAGTTTATGGAGATCTGTGGTTGAACCTGCTTTTATTTCAGTTAAGTTGCTATTATAGTTTGTATAGTGATATTTCTGTAAAATATTATATGTTCCTTATATAGGACAATATTACTAAGGGACTTGCACTTTATTATATATATTGATAGATGTATATATTAATATATATAAATAATATACATTATTGCCTATAAGACATTTCACTTAATGTTCACACAAAACTTACATGAAGCCATTTGAGTATAAAAGCAGATTTAATCTTAGTTTTGTTCAGCTGTAACTCTTTAGGAATTTGGGAATTATCATTCTAGATCAGAACTGCTTTCTCTTCGTTTCAGCACTGCCACAGATAGAGGTCTGTTACTAGATACTACCTAGGGAGTTGGGAATGTGAAAGAAGCAGAAACTTGTGAAATCAGCTTTTAATGGGTTACATTTCTGGCCAACATGATTGGCAGTTTCATTTATGCTCTGAGATATCACTGAGGTTATTACTGGCAACAGTTCCTTGGCTGTCCATGTCCTAATCCATGTGATCAGGACCCTGAATTTAGTTCAGTTTTGTTTAGTGACAGTTACTGTGAAATTGTCTCTATGGGATAATCCATCTCCAAAGCAGTGTAGTGCTGTAGGGGGAGATCCATCCCTTAGGAATCAATATTTCCACTTGAGCAGAGGCTGCTGTTTTTCAAAGACAGCCAATAACTGCGGCAACAGCTCCAACTTGGTGCAGCATTTCAGCTTGTGGGATACTCTGACGCAGTTCAGTACGGTTCCAGAATTCAAGTTCTTTCTTGGCAAAGGTTTTTGTGGCATGTAGAACTATGTATATCATGTCCTTATTTTCAAACATGTCAGTTCTTAATAGGCTGGGATTAGATTTATTTAACATGAATTGAGATTCTGCTCTACCTAATCTTGCATTAATGTCAATTGATACTTTTTTGGGGGAAGGGGAGGGGAAGGGGGCGGGGCAGGGGAGGGCTCCCCAGAGACCAGCACCAAGCCTGACAGAGTTCAAAAAGTGCTTGGTTAATGCTCTCAGGCACATGTATGATTCTGGGGTGGCCATGTGCAGAGCCAGGGGACTTTGAGGAGCCTTAAGGGTCCTTTCCAGCTTAGAATATTCTGTGATTTTTCTCTCGTCTAAAAAGCTTTGTCTGAAACTAGTGGAAGTTACATATTTTTTATTTTGCCATTGCTAACTGTCTTAAAAACATACTAAAGGGATTATCATTGAAGATAAATTTTAATAATGACACTAAAAGACATTTTAGTTCACTATCTAGCTAATTCTCATTACCTGTTTTGCAGGTGGAAAAGAAGTGAAGAGTTTAGGGCCGAGTATGACAGCAAATACACATAACAACTAACAAATGAAGGTTTCTTTTGCATGCATATGCAGTGGCCATCCATGTGTCTGTTCAGGAGGAGTGAGCAGCACCTGTCAGTGCCTTTCTCAGTGGGCACATGGGTGGGTTATCCTAGCTCATAGTGGGGATGAGATTCCTGTTGGGTGCAGAACCCTTTCCTACAGCATTAAAAAAATTCTTACTTTTGGCATAATGATTCTAAAATCCCACATTGAGGCCACAGATGAAATCAATTGCTTTTTTAAAAAGAAAGTTCTTATCATGTTCTGGGAATATTTTTTGTTTACTTATTTTTTGTCCTAACAGAGATAGATGTAGTGCTGAAAGTCATGTGGGCTCCTTTCTATCTACAAATATATACCTTGGACTATAAATCTCAGCTTTATTCTTGACGATTGAGTTTTCTATGGTTTTGCCAAGTAAATTTTCCACACTTATTTTTTATCAAATTTTTAATGTATGCAAAAGGGAAGAGTAGTGGTAAACCGTCATCTTTATCATGGGGATGTTGCAAGAAAATAGATGAAAGGTTAAATAATATGTTTTCATTAGCCATAGCAATCTGAATCTTGTTTAAGTTAAGGTGCAGTAAATGTCGATACTGAAGCTGCTTCTACCACTACTTGATAAGGAAAAACTACATATGATAAAAGAATGGAATGTAACATATTTTATTTATTTTATTTTATTCTTATGCAACTTATCTGTTCATAGGTGTTTGGACATTCCATTCATGCATTGCTAATCAGGTAGTGACAAGTCTGTGCTGGTTACATTTCCTACCTCAGAGCAAATTCAAGTAGTGAGTAGCTTGGAAAAATTATTGCCTGTGTGTTCTGTCCTCTAGATTGCTTTAAAAAGAGCTTCTTCTAGCCATTATTAAAAATCTCCTAGTATTTTTCTTTGTGTATGTCAAGGGATTGTATGTTTTAGCAACCAGGGAGCAGTTGGAGTGGGGTAGATGCAAAAGCTTTCTTGGCTAAGAGCAAAATCCAAAAAAGTACTTCCAAAATGGGTACTTGGAATGATTGATAGTGCTGGCTCATGTTCCCTTCTTTAGTGTGTCTGTACATATGAATTTAGGAGTGAAGTGCAGGTATTTAGAATTTCTTACATAAAAGAATTCCATGTCTATCTTGTGAAATAAAGTAGAGGATGATTCTTGTTCTGTCAACAAAAAAAGTCCTTTATTGAAAGCTAAATGAAAATAGGAGATTTTATCATGGCTGTAACTTGTAATTATGCTTTTAATTGGTTGCTGTAATGGAGTGTCCTTAACCAAACCCATTTAGACAAGAAGAGAATATCCTGTGGACTGCAGACTGTGGAGGGAAGAATTACAAAGCTGCTAGTTCTAAGAATGTGGCATCACATTGAATCTGTTATGTACAGGACTTAATTTCACACTGCACAACTGGGGCTGGAGGCTGGATGTTAATGTCAGGATGGTGTTTACGTGTGATGGCCTGTATTTGTACAATTACTGCTTTATTAGGAGATGTCATGTCTGGCAATTTTTCATTCCTCTACATGGAAAATATTTGCATTTTGCAAAGTGGAAGTCCTTTTCTTGAAGTGAGGACTTGAGAGGTGTTTATCAGAGCCTGTTTCCAAAGGAAATCTGTGTTTGTTTGCCTGGCATGATGGATACCTGAGAAACAGCTTCTTGCCCAAAGGAAACAGGGGGTACTTTCTGCGTCAAGGAGGCTTAGTTTTGCAGTTTCATTCTCTCTGAATATGTCAGTATCTCACTTTTTCTGGTACATAGCACTATGCCTCATATGATTTCTCTGTGAAAACTATTAGAAAGCACTGGGTGTATTTCCTCATACTGAGTATACTTTTCTTTGTTTCCCATGTATAGAAAATTAACGTAAATTATGCATTAAAATTTTAAAGTAAAATACTGAAATTCGAGTGTTTGTACAAGGACATTGTGAGAATCAATTTGAATGCATAGTTTTCATAGTATTGCCAACTATTCTCTCTAGCTGAGAGAGAATCATCTTCATTTGAGAAGTATGAGGGGTGCTCTTAAGGACCAAGTATAGTGGAGAGCTATATGTTCACTCACCCACACCACTGTCCCTAGTTCCTTGGGTAAAGCTAGATAAGAAGCCTTCTCATGCTGAAGTTTGGGATTTAAGATATTCTTCTTTGAAATGAAGTTGTTTTTTTCCTAAAACTGGTAATAGAATAAAAATAGCTCCTAGACCCCAATTTTGTACACCTTTTTATAGAAAAAAATCACCTCTCTAGACCTATGAGTGGGATATTTCTTTGCTCTTGATATGGAGACATGTAGAAAAAGGAGACCAAGGACTTAAATCTGGATATCCTGTATGCAGCTGAGTGCTGTGATTGTGTCTTTCCGCTGTTATTTTTGTTGTTTCCCTGTCAGGGCCAGAACACTAAAATAGTCCTTGCTCCACTGTCCCTAAGAAGGAAATCTGGCTTGAGTCCTTGAGTAAGGGTGAAGTAGAAACAACTGTGCTTTCATGAAAGTTTTCACTGGGATGACCTTACATATTATAAAAAAAAAATAAAAATCCTAAACCAAAAAGCCCCCCCACCCCTAAAAAACTTGAACTCAACAAAAAACCCACCAACTCTGAAACTCAGCAAAAAACTCATCAACTTATTAAAAAATTTTATTTACTTTAATAAGGAGCTGCTGGTGAGCTGCTGTGTTTTGCTGCAGAGATGACTGTATTTCTCTGCCAGGGAAGCAGCTTTTTATTCTGTATCCTATATGTATCTCTTTCAGATTATTTAGGTAACTTTCCTACTATTAGCGAAAAAATTCATTGTTTATTTATGTTTTAACAGTTTTAAACAGCTAATTTTGTGACTGAGACAAGAGGTGGTTAAATTGGGCTTTTTAATTTTGACAAGAGAAGTACTTGTATGTTTTATGATTTAGTTTCTGAAAGTACAGAAGATTGAAGACCCTAAGATTGTATTTATTTACT